TGCTCCGCGCCATCTTTCCGACCAACTTTGCCGCACTCGCACTGCTCAGCACCTCCGCCATTCCGCCAGAACGAGCTCCATGGCTCGACACCTCCGCCTCGCCGGTCAGCTGCGCATCGGCTTCGAAAGCCGTCCCTCGATGTCCGCCACGTCCGGCCACTGTCGCCCAGCACAGTCGCCGGCGGTCGCTCCTTTCCGCGCACTCGCGCCGACCAGCCGCGTACTCCTGAGCAAGTCGCGCGCGCGGGAAGCATCCAAGGCGCAAGCGGCAGCTGACTGCCCGCCGGATGTTGCGCCGCATTAACCGGGTAATGTAAATCGTTTAACGGTTTAATGAACTGGCCGCAGCTCGCTACGAATTGGCACCTTAACAGCTTGTTGTCTCGGTGCATTTTGTTGAGTGCATAACCAACGTGTTTTCAGCTTCATCTCTGGTCAGTCAGACGGTCAGAGACACACTCCATTCTTATGGACTTCATTGTGTCTTGCATTATCTTTGTTCCGGGAACTTTAACACAGCTAGAACTGATTGAGTATTATTATTAACTGGATGCATGAAAAGATGAAGCGCTAGGAATTGCATTAAGGGCGTTGATGAACGGACTGAATATAAAGGACAGAACGCTTGTTGTCCTTTTGCCTCGGCTGTAAACCGTTGCCGTGGACTCAAGCGTACAATTCCCATTCAGGGATCGCCACCCCTTCGATCCCGCCTGCCTTCTTCAGCACCACCAGTCACCGCATTAATCGTTCCCGCAGACGGCTTAAATGGACCCATTACTTACGTAACCTTGGACAGATGGCAGCGGAACAATCGACCACCTGCTCCCACCATCGGCTCCCCCGCCCAGAAAGCCCCTCCGTTGTTGGCACGCCTCACACGCTCTCCGGACAGGCACACGTTCCCCTCCTCCCCTCCCCTTCCGCCCCCTCCCCCCCCTCCCCTTCCTCCCTTCCCCTCTCCAGGCATGGACGTCGACATGTGCGATACCGAGTCCTCTGGATCTGCCTGCGCCTGTGCCTCGGCAGGCGGTGGCGGGGCCCGGGGCGGCCACCAGTGCACAGCGGTCTGCCGCTATGTGCACCTGTTCGCCAACGTGTGGCGCTGCGCGGAGTCCGCAGAGCTGCACGTTTGTGACAGTAACTGCAGCCAGCGCGTGACCTGTGGCGGGGGGGCCTACGTGTGCCGGGTCAGCGGGCGGGTGTTCATGGGGCCGGGCGAGGCGGCGATGAGGCTCACCAGGTGGGCACTTGCCCCTCTCCCCTCCGTTTCTTCGAAGGGGATCGGATTCGGAGACTGCAGGGGCGGTCTGGGATTGGGCTGGGATTCTCGCGGGGGCGAAGGCGACCTGCGAGCGGTAGCTGATGCGAAGTAGCGGCCGACTGGCCGCCCTGGGGAGGGGCCGGAGGGGATGCTGTTTGACTAGCGTTGGCTGGAAGGGCGCGGCGGGTTGGCGGGGCGCCGTGGCGCTCTGCCGGGGCCGTGCTCCTCTGGGTGGGTGGGAGGGGCGGGCGCTGCGCCCCCGTCGCTCTTGCGGTGTTCGGGCGGGCGAGAGCGTCCGTGCGGCGTCTGACGATCTCTTGTTGCGCTCTGGCAGGAAGCGGCGCGGCGAGGTGTACATCCAGGACCCCCTGCGCAAGCGCGTCTCGGCAGTGCCCGTCCAGGGGGGCGCCATGAGGTGAGGCGCTGAGCGGGAGGAGTCCACGCTGAGCGGTGGCGAAGCAAGGGGGGGAGGAAGGCATAGAGCGGGGCAGGAGGGGGCTGCTCGTGCGGCATCTGGGCTGCCCGGCCGCTTGCTTCATGTTGGGCGCGAGCATGCGCTGAGCGAGGCGTTCTGCTGCGCCGGCCTTTCGCACGGAAGTTGGCGGGCTGCGTCGTAGGTGGCTGGGCGGGGCCCCGTCCAGCGCAGCGGTGGCGCTGGGGCGCAGCGCCCCTCGCTGAGAACCCATTGTCATGCTCAGAAAGTTTCGGAGATCTGCGTGCTGCTTGCGGTGTGGCGATGCGCCTCGCCTGGCTCGCTGGCTGACTGCCCGGATGTGGTGTTGCCTTCCCCGCAGGTGAGCTGGACCGTTTCAAACGCGGCCGGTCGCGCTTCGAGCCTCCCAATTTTGAAAACAAGACCGTTGTTCCGTCCGCCGCTGTCTGGCGCGGATCCAGGCGCGGTGCGCGCTTCAATAAATAGGTGAAGGCCAAGTAACTAGATGCCCTGGAACCGTGCCACAGCCAATGAGCTTTGGGGTGTACCTGCACCAGGGAGTTAAGAAAACTTGAATGTAGTTAAAAGGGTCTATGTGGTTGGAGGGCGGTGGAAAGCTCGTTGGTGCCCAGACTTGCGGCGCAGACGCAAAGCTTCAAATATTGGGTGTGGTTGTGACAATGGATGCCAGCTTGGATGCACAGGCTTAGGGCAGCCAGATCTAACACAAGGCACTGGGTGGAATGTTTTCCTGGGACGCAAGCCAGGTTAAGAGCGTCGCAAATTTACACAATGAACAGCCCATGTCTGCATCAATTTGGAGTGGTCATGGTGTTGGGGTCTGTGCATAGTGTCCATCTCAACAACAGGTACAAGTTCCTTTGTGATGGCTTTTTCGCTTGGGGGGGCGAGTTTTGTGGACTTCTTTTGTGTAGCGTGTGGTTGCTGTATGCAAAACTATCAGGGCTAAGCGCACCGGGTCCCCAGATGTCAGGTATCTGTTACGCGTGGCCTGTGTGTAGATCTGGAGGGGAAGGGGGAAGGCAGGCAACAGGATAGCCTTTTAACGCATGCACTCTGGTCAGGGGCATTGATCAACTCAATTCTTGAAAGTATCTCGACTGTAACTGATCGCGATGAGCGCGAAATGCTTGTTGGAGATTTCGACTGTACACAACACGGCACCGTCACAGACTGCATGGCCACCCCCTTCTTGTGTTCATTGCTCAATAGACGGATTGTTGGAAACCTTCAAAGCTTTGTGGCATGATTTAGGCTGACGTGCTTATCGCAAGAGCAACAACACAGTGGCCCTCCTTATCTCCAGAACATGTCTGTTTGGGCCTTCCTGGCACCTTTGTTGCTTGTCCGGCATTTTGGACACGGGACGCCACTGCATCCTGCTTCTTGTGACCCAAACTTTCTGGCCCTTCTAACAAGAACAAAGCATTGAAGAAATTGCGACTTCCCATTTGCTGCCAGTAGCACAGGCACATTTAGAGTGGCCTGGATCCCCTATTCCCGCCTCGAAAGATGAATCAGAAATCACACCACGGAAGGAATGACCGTGCAAGTGTCGCGAATGCACACAAGTGGGAGTGGCACTCAACCATCTGGGCAATGTTTGCACTGGTGGTTTGAACCCCCAAACTGCCACTTGTTGCGCTGCCAGGGCGGAGGTTGAAAGGTTTTGATGTTTGGGCCTCCCACTGCAGCTGGATCCCTTTGGCTCCCATTGACTTGCTCGCCAGCTTCACAGGCTGTTGAAACGTGCCCCACACAGCATGCCACCGTGGCAGATGCACAACCGTTCATTCTTTCGGCATAACAGCTACGAGGACCACAAGTACAGATGGTAACAGCCTGCTCGTCATAGAACGACAGACAAGGTCGAAGGATACCTGAGCGGAATCTGGTAGGTATGAGTAAGGCGATCAGTACGGGAAGCGAGATGGCCACATGGAATGTGCCAGCACGCACATGGGGGTCAAGCGCGACTTGATTTCTGAATTGGGCTGGGTTTTCTTCGGTGCACGCCGTGGGCTGCATGGAGAGATTCAGGACAGTGCATTGCGGACGGCACAAGTGCCTCCCATGGGCTTGCAATTGCGGGGAATGATTTGACAGAGTCCGCTTTCGCATTCGTTGATTATATGGCCAACAGTCGCTTGGTGAATGCTGCCCAATAATGAAAGCCATGATCAAGTACGCAACCTTCGGCTGGCAGCCCATTGCGCCCAATTCTGGCACCACATTCGGCCTTTGCCACAGTGCTGATATCGCAGCCAACTGGCTGGTCATTAAATGGCTCAGTATTCACAACACACCGGTGTCGTCATCTTGGCGCGACGAACATTGGTTCCACGCTCGCGTGCTTCGGCAGTATTTCTTGATTGGATTGACAACGCAAGCTGGCTGCACGACAGTCAACCTTCGAGACACCAGACCTGAATTTTGACTTGACGTTTAAATATACAACAGACGCGATTGTGCAGTCGGTCCCCACCCGCCCGCCCCTGCCGCTGTCAACGCCACCCAATCCCGTCAACAGCCAGCCTCGAGTCCCAAAATGGCAGGCCCACAAGCTGCCTCATTTTTGTAGCAATTTGTTTACTTTCCGTCCTATCTGCTACGCCTTCCCAACTACACCCACATCTGCTGCCCGCACAGTCCAAGCCACCGTTCTCCAGACGACAAAGACGTCATGAGTCACCGGCACCAATTGAGCCGCCGTCCTGCCATCCACGATCTACGGAAGGTCCAACAGCGGGTCCCGTATCTACCATCTGCAACCAGGGGCCAGTCCATCAGTCCATAACTTAAGGCCATCCCACGAAGAACTCCTCCTTCCCCATTCTTCCGCGCTATGAGGTTCAGAAACGCAGCGCCTGGCCAGCGTCTTCAGGAGACACCAAGTATCCAACACCCAAGGCAGGGTGTCCACAACTAGAAAGTAAGTTGGCCACAACCAAAGTCAGGGCTGAGAAGCCTGATTGGCAGCAACCCCTCGGTGTAATTACCCAATAGAATGCAGGCACACAAGCGTTCCCGAAAATTGCAATGTTGCACGGAGCCGTGATATGCGCAGGTCTCAGCTACAGTGCCTACAAACACAAGTTCACAGCCCGTGCTACCGAGTCTCGCGTGCTGTTCGCTGAGGAACCGGTGTCGGCATGCCAAGCAGCCTCCTCCAGCGCTGCTGCCGACACAGCCATTGCAGTATGCGTGGCCTGCTCCACATGCAACGCATACAGCTCTGACAGGTACCCTTTGATCCTTGCCAATTCCCGGATTGGCACTGGCCTACACTGGCCTTCCACTCTCTGCCTTCCCTTTTAGTTGCTCAAAGGAAGTCTCAACGCATTTCTGCAAAACCGAAAGCACCACACAAAGTAGTCAGGGTGATGAGACTCAGAAAATGAGCGACAGTGCTGACTGCGGCCGTTCCTGCCAGTGCTCAGGTGCCACATGGGCGCAGTGTAGCAGGCTCACAATGCGGGCTCAAGCAGTTCAGGGGCTCGATGTGCCAATGCACTATATCGTCCGCTTGATGCACGGACGAGGCAGACGTGCATTGTGTGACTTGACCATAGTATTGCTCCATTCTGAATGTTACGGATTTCAGGTGAGTTCCATCCGGTTGACTCAAGCCAGGACCAAACTGCAGGCGCCAGCACATGGGTTGGGGTTGCGGGCGTGCACAGCTATGCAGGTGCTTGAAATTCCGCCCCCTCGTTCTTTGTCTTTTGAATGGCACAATGTCCATTGCCTCCATGGACATGCCCTTCCAATACGCATTGCTCGATGTTTTATTCGCCTTGTCTAGTCCCTGTGCTGCTGCTTGCAGCGCATATTTGCTTGTGGAGAAGCAAATTTGAAGCATGCCAATGTCGACTAATTAACTTGCGGAATGGCACCAACAAGGCCAGCCACCTGCGCTTGTGCAGGCAAGATAAGATCGAGTGAATGAATGTTCCCATTAACGTCAGCAACGACACACTGGTCATGGCACGTGTCTCTCCTGACTTCAGCCCATCACACAGCATCAGTTTTTCTAATCATCTGCATTGACCTCTCAATGCACGGCACAGGTAGAATAGGAAACTATGCCTTTGAGGCACTGGTCGGTTGCATCTTCTCCTGCGGATGTCGACATTGGTGGCACTACGTTCCAACCCTTCTCCCTCAAGCAAGGAAAAAAGGAACACGAAATTCCAGGCTTTGGTCACATGGGACAATACTGGCATGGGATGGAGACACAATGCCATTCAGGGCTGGCTCTCCAAGTTGCTTTGTTCACAGCCACGACGCACAAACTAACGAACGCCCTGGCTGGCATGCAGCGCTTCATCACCTTGCGGGTGTGCAAGCTCGTTCTGATTAGCTAGACACATGCAGTCACAGGGTTTGCATGAGGCTGCAGCACGTTTGACAATAGTGCACTAGCCAAGACCTTCGCTGTGGAAAAATCGTTCACGAGATCCTGGTTGTATCTTGGTTGATTGAATGACACCACTAAGGTTTGTTTGACGGCTAGGTAGGGCTGCAAGTGTGCCAGCCCGCCACCCACCTTGATATCCCCATAGGACACAACAAGCATTTGCTTCTCGTCCCTGCTGAGCAGAACGATGTTCTCTGGAACACCAGCATCCACCTGCAGGTAACAGGCAGCCATTAGGGACTCAATTGGATTATCATGCCCAGCGTGACTACAATAAGTGCAGAGCAGTGCAGCACTTTCAGGATACAGCATCACATGTGGTGACCACGAGCAATGTGTCACAGCCAAATATGTTGATGACAATGCGCATTGTCACATCCTCTACATTGAGAAGGTTACAAAGACTGTAACAGATCAACTTCGCAATTTGTTTCCCCGAACACTTTTGAAACATGCCAGTTTGCTGTATATGTGACATTCAGATAACTATTAACAAGTATCCAAGCAGAATGGAGCTATGGGCTTTGGCCCAGAAGATGCATGCTGCCTGTGGTTTGGGCTCACTTTGTTCAGGCACTCCACAATATGACCCCAGTCGATGATGGGGGTGCCGTCCTTCCTGGACTGGTGAAACACAAAGTCTCGGAAGAGCTTCAACAAGTAGCGGTCACCAGTCTCAGACCAATCGGAGTCCTGAAAAACCAGGGGTGCAACAACATGGTAAGCAAAAGGGCCAGAGCACAACAGTGCTACTATCCGCCCACCAAAGGCCACTGGGTGGTGCCATGCAGAAATCCGATTCTGTGACACATTCATGAGTGATGATGTGATGCACCTAAACTGCAAGTTGATCCCTGCAGAATGTAAGGAACAACTTTCAGTTCACCTCTTAGAGCTGTGTTGCACTGACCAACTGCCTGTAACTTGGGCACATGGACAGCATGGCATACATGGAGTAGTGCAAAAGGCTGCCCACATGCTCTGCTTTTAGAGGGCATTTGCACTTGAAACACGTGTATAGTTGTGGTGCAGTTGGCTGCAAAAATGGAAACATCTGTGTTGGCATCCTGACATTCAACCAACAATGGTTGCATGCTTCCGCAGCTGACGAGCCTGTGCAAAGGGAAATGCTTGCACTGGCACTGTACAACTGCCAACCACAAAGTCACGCACAGGGCCCAAAAACCCCACATCTATGCAGGCACACAAACCCAGATATCACAGCTAGCCAGCAGGAAGCTCAGCTTCTTGATGTTGCAAGAGGGGAGCAAGCATCTTACCTGTTGCCATCGCCTTTCCGTCTCTGTCTCTGAGTGCAGACAACAAAACAATGCTTTGCACAGCTATTAGCCAATGGCATATGCCAGTCCCCATGCCAGCCCAAGCATTGGTCAATCCATTATCTTACCCCATCAGTGTCAAAAGTATTTTTGATGGTATATCAACAGCAATGCAGCTGTCGATAACACCACAATACAACCTCACTCACAGAGAAATTTCCCCCCGGACGTTCATTGATGAGCCCCAACTTGACGAGCAGCCGCAGAAGCCTTCCATTCTCCACCTCTTTTGCCAGTTCATGCAACTGCCAAACAAGGGGCACTCAGACAAGATGCAAAAGACAGAGAATCAGAGTTCAAGCATTGGGCAGATAACAAAAGTGCACACGATTGGCTTCATGCGATTGACGTTGCATGACATTTGCAGAAGTTGCAAAGCACTGGCCTTACTCTTTCAAGGCTTGAATCAGTTGATTCTATTTGTTCAAATACATGACCAACCACTGCCCTTGCACGTTAAAGGTGATTTTGGACTTGAACTTCCTTCATGGACTTTCTTTAATCATATCACATAGTTCCTTTCCACCTAGACAATCAAGGCCATGTTCAGCATGAATCCACACAGAATGTTCAGAATGCGACCTCCCAGGACATTCAAATATCAAAATTAATTCCCTGTGCGATCCAAAAAGCTGCATTTCCTGGCGAAGCAACGAGAAGCAAGACATTCACCAATATTCTATCCGCAATGCTGCCTTCCTGTTTCTGCCCCAAGGGTATCCTGAGGCAGTTCACTGGGTCCTACATACGAGTGGGAGGGTTCCAAAGATAGTGATGCGTAAACAATGTGCACGCCATTGTTGAACAGTGCATGTGTCCAGCTGACTGCAGAACAGATAAGCCACGTCCATCAACCTGAGCTGGGACCTCACAAACAAAACCTACAAAACACCGCTCTCAAGAGGCCTGCTGCCAAACAGAGAGTGCATGGACACAATAGAGGTCCATTTGTGCTCATATCTTCTCCACGTTAAATAGCCCACTTGGTACAACATCTTGCAAGCCCACAATTTGCTCACGCAAGTCTTTGTCGAATCGATACAGCCAACAGACCCATGCCAGGGCTTTGTGCCAACTCAGTAAACTCCGGTATCACGGTTTTCTGGGGCCAGCGTTCAGGGTCCAAATCACAAACATGCAGTGCCGACGAGAACAAGATGGCTGGGAATACAATTTGCATCTGTGAAGAATTCCTGACATGGCATTGACAGATGGAATGACATCAACTTGCCATATCTTTGAGATGTGGAATTAACACAAATATACGGCTCATGGGGCCACAGCTTTCAGCCGCAAGCTTGCAGCACACAGCAAATGCCCTGCGCCAGATTCGGTGTCCATTAGCACTCAACAGCTTCCATCCTCAACACCACAGAAACGGCAAAACGGTCTTTCAACTCAAGAGGAGCACACGCATTGTTTGGCACAGTGTTCTTCCCCAAAATTACTAATCCTGCGTTAACCACGTTTCAAGTCCTTACCAGGGCGTCGTTGTGCATGTTTGCAGAGTCCAGGGCAGCAAGGGACCGCTCGCTGAGGGCGCCAGCTAGGTGCTGCCAGCTACTGAGATGATTCCCTTCAGAGGCCATCATTAGTGAGTTGATCAGCCTCACAAGCTCCACAGAGTAATGCAGACCGCAATGGTCTAGAGGCCCCACTCCCATCTCGCAGCCCACCGTTGCCAGACTCAGAATGAGCTTGCCAACTCCCTTGAAGAGCACAAAATGGAAACGTGGGCAGTGGGCACTCCGGCAAATCGAAATCCGTTCAAAACATGTTGCCTCTGTGCTTCTTGGCATGATGGGCACTGTTCATCAGTGCAACGGTTGTCCCAATTACTACCACATTCACTCTCATTTGTGGTACCAACAATGGGCATACCTTCGATGAGCCAGACACAACTTTACTTTTCCTGCCCAGTACAGCAATGAGTCAGAGTTGAGATGCATGACTTGACCCTTGCGTGGCACCATTAGAAGCAACAGTTCAATTCCATCCAGTTTACCGTTACCATCCAGTTCACACTTGCCGCTTACATCTGAACACTTCTCTAAGCACTGTTGGCCTGCATGCACAATTGATGGGCGCTCACCAACAGGTCTCGCCGCTGCAAGACAGTCAGGTCCTCGTTTTGAACGCGCTCCCCATCAAGAACATCAAGGATGCCTATGGACCCAACTCTGAGTCTACCACCGCTTGTGAGCAAGACCTGCCACAAACACGGAAATGGTGTGGCCTGTGAACATGCTGCGACATCTACTTTCATTTTCACCAACCCAAGCCGTGATGTCTTACTTCTGTAGAAGTACTGTAGCTCAAGCGTTGAAAGGGCAATCGCCTTGCGCCACAAGCACAGTTTCCCAACACCTCTCACAGTGGTGCAACATCGAAAGGGCTATTATGCTATCTGGTGAACTCATTCCAAGCAGAAAACATTTGTTCACAAACCCTGGCACAACGTGCTGTCAACATGGAGCATGGTTTGATGAGTAGAATAGGAATGCGGCAGTAAGGGTAACGAGTTGCAGCAATATGGTGTGGTCTGCAGCCCCGCAACATCCTTGTTTGTATGCACTAAACTACCACAACTCTCCTCCTTCCCTGGCAACTTGAAATCTAAATTCTGCCAATCAGTGAACATCCTGCCCACAGCTGGCCTTCCACGAGCAAGGATGGATGTGGAAGTAACCATGGACAGCCTTTGCTACAACCCTATTCAGCTTTAGTTACACTGACAGGACAACAAGTTGAGGTTTCAAAGATTCCCAAAAGTTGCACACCCAACAGATGGATGGATGGACAGACACAAATCTCACTCAAATGATTTGGAATTCCAGGACCCCCAACGTACTCTCTTCAGCCCACCTGCAGGCCAAGGGGACCCACATGGTGGCATGTCCTGGCCATCAAACATGGATCCCATTTTAGAGCAAAACACCGGGAATACATTGCCGCGCACAGTGTCAAACGACAAAAATCTGGACTGGCGCCAGCCTTTAGGTTGGCGCCCACCTTTGAGGGAATGAGGCATTCCGGTCGAAATGCCAGGCCGGACGAGTGTGCAACTCTTGTCACTGCAGCCAGTTGAGTAAGGTATGACCACAGTTCATCTTCTGAGGCCGGCCGCTGGCTCTGGAGGTGGCGGAAGTGAAGGCTCACCTGCGCCGCAGTGGAGAACACAGAAGATTCAAACGAAAAGCCTTGGCCCAATAGTTTGTTACCCCACGCACTAAGTGTTACGGACGTGCCGTTAAGAGGGAAGAGGTATTTCATTTGGGAATTAGTAGCCAAGAATAATTGCTACGTTTGAGACAGATTCTATGTCAATGTACGAGGAAGGAGTTTTCTGGCTGATTCTGTGATACTAAAGGCTGGACCTGTAATGAGTGCTTGCTCTTTCCGCCGTTGGAGAGAGCGAGATGTTCCAAGCCAACGTGGTGACCCACTCCGCTCCCGTTTGCACGCTGCGAGGGACCCATTAATCGAAAAGGGAAGTTACATAAGCGATCGCCCCAAACGAAGTTCCTAGCATTCCTTCCAAAGCATCTTGCTCTGCCTTATCGCTAAGTCACCACTGTGATGGCTGCTGAAGTCAGCAGAGCTTATGAACAGCAAAGGTCATGAATACCAGGTAATGATAACAGAGGCTGTGAGTAACATTGCAGAATCATGATGACACTTGCAATTTGGTTGAAGGATGGACAAGACCCCTAAAGCTGCTGATGCTTTCCCTTACAACGCACAGAAAACTCTCAACATGCCTTGAGAATAAACATTGTGTTGCCTCACTCAAAACATGAGGGATGTCCCCTCAAGTTTCCAGTACACTCCGCATAGCTCACAGGTGTCGATTCATAGACAACCATCGAGGACAATCAGTATGTGCAGCATTGCATGAATGCATATGCCACTCAGAACACCACCTGCATAGAAGCATATTACTTGCACCAATTTACCCTGGCAAACTCCACGACCTGCTTGGTTGCTCTTGTTGCATTCCCCCACAATAGCGGTCCACAAGGGCTCCTATTTTTTGGAATGGACACCAGCAGGGAATGGTGCCACCAATACAGCACCACAGTTGAATCGTGGCAGGCCCATGCATATGTAGGATGTCGCACCGGAGCGAGGTTTCTCTTTTCTTCCACCACTTTCTTCAACCCAAGCGAACTCTGTTGCCCCCACTCAGAGCATGGATAATAGGCAATGGGTATATTTGGAGGTCCACCAGCATGGTATGAAGACAAAACGGTCATTATGTTGATATCGCAGTTGAGCTCATTTGCAGCAACAACAGGAACCTCATACATACCGCCCCTGGGTGGTAGTCATGTACAAAGTATAGTGAAGAAACACCCCCGTACTCGCTGCTGGCGAACACCCCCCGGAGGCCCACTGCATTTGGGTGATTGGCCACACATGACCATCGCTGCACTGTTTCGTGGGCGGACTTAAGAAGGCCGGGAGATGGCAGCACCTGTGCATGCATGGAGCAGGCTTGTCAATATGGTGAGCAGCAACTAAAATGCCAGTTGGGGAAAATGCTATGGACTGGTGTAGTCACAGACATCGCCTGATAGTTCATTGAAGTGAGTTGCACTCAAACATTACAAAGGATGCGATGGGGCTCGTGCTTGGAGAACAACAAGCACATAATGGAGACACAATTTCTTTCAGCCGCTTGCACACAATAGCACACCAGACAGACAAGCCACTGTCCCCTCTCATTGCTGACATATCCTTTGCCGCATTGGATGGTCTCATACCTGCCTGCCATCAATTCTCCTCAGTCCATAGGCAGCCCCATCCACCATGCTAACCCCTTTGATGACACATGTCCTGATGCCCAGGCTCACGGAGGGCTGCTCGTCTGCAAGGGGCAGGTCCTCCAATGGGCAGAGGGAGTGGAAGTTCTGAATGAGGGGAGGGAGGCCAAGTTCAGCTGCCGCTTCGGATGTCAGCTGCAAGGGAGCACAGGGATTCAGGTGGACGATACTGAACCCATTCATTCATGTTCTGTACAAAGAAAGGAAACCATCTATGACAATGGGTACCCAGCCTCCAGAGCAACAACAGGCTTGCCAGATTCCCTGCCATGTTCCGAGGCAATAGGAAGTTGCCGGGGACATCGATATACACATCACAGAGAAGCATAAGAGCACTAACGACATGCACCCAGGGGACAACAAAAACTCCGGTGCATGGAATGTGACCAACAGGGCCCTTGTAAGGACGGGTTTCTAGTTGTTAGCATATTTGGAAAATCTGCTGGCACTGGATGGATATCCAACCCTCTTCACAGTAAAGACACCACGAGCAAGCCAATTCCCAATAACAAAAGAGTTTAGGCAGCACATTATTATGTGCAGCACTGGAACTGAACTGATACAAATTTCAAAACTTCCACAACTTGAAGTCGAATAGAGGGTCACTCAACTGTCGTGTTCCTTAAGGCCTTATGCACTGTTTGCCAGGCATTGCGGGTGTGGGTGGGGGAAACCTGGAAGATTTAGTTGCACAGACTGCCCTGGCACAACACATGGAATCAAAGCAGACCTTGATTGTGGATGGTCAAAGTTACAGGCAACAGTCCCATTAGTCAACCCTCTTCACTGTTTCCATCATTATCAGGTCCTTGTAGCCAGCAAGCAAAGTTGATCACAACCCAGTAGAGACACCTGCCATGACCATTGTGTCGTTTTCGTTTTCGCAGTATCAAATACTTTTCATGTCTCAAGTATCCCACATGTGTTCCCAGTTTCGTAGCTCAAAGCATGGAAGTAAAGATAACCAGTGGCAGTTTCCATCCATTGACAAACAGTGCAAACAGAGTGATTCTCTCAAATCAATGTCCAGCTCAGTGCACAGTCCCCTGCCAGAAAAGCAAATTTCAAGGGACCAGAGCGGTGGTGAGCTTGGAGTGCACACCTGAAAGACATCGCCAG